ATGTAACCATGTTAGTAGCGAATCTAAGATTATATTAGACAATCTCTATTGATTTCTTTATCACTTCAATCAAATACTGATTTTAAATTATAGTTTGCACTCAAATAACATTCAGATCTCTATTTTTAAATTGACTGCGCGTATCAGAAAACATTAATATCAAGACCCATATTGGAAAGCTAGAGTCCCGAACATTTGATCACATGAATTTTTAATGTCCGACCGTCAAAAACTGGAGCACAGGAATAGTCGCATCGTTCCAGAATCATTAGTTTAAGTGCATGTCTGTATCGACCATGATCTTACCCGTCTTTTTAGGTAATATCACTTAGATGTGTCCAGGAGTTACGGAAAATATTTACCTTTAATATGGGTTTATCTTTAGTTGTTTTATTCTAATAGTTGAGAAAAATTCAGCTTGACAGGAAGTAATTTTCAATACTATAGGGATGACACTATCATTCATGGCTTCATTGGTTATCGAAAGTGATAGAATGCATGTTTTTTCCGTATAAATATTAATATAACTATAATTCCAGGAAAGGTGATTAGTTAAAAAATAGTCAGCCATCACTTTTGTATCGAATACTTAACATATTCTACACATACATATATTGGCGCAATAATAGAGGATATATTTTATACTTTATCAATGACAATGTATGTCGGGATGGTATCCCATGGATGTTACAGAGTCTTCTGTAATGTATGTATGGCTTCTTGTCTACAGATTGTCCCGATTGTTAGTTTTCACGACGTAGTCCTTGTAAAATAAAGTATAAACTTAGTAAATATTTAATAGTAGTATATTTTTTTATAAAATAACACCTACTAGCAATATTAATAGAAGTATTCATTGAAAAATAATAATCAAAAACAGTTTTTTCTTCTTGCGATCCATATACAGCATTCACTCGTCTCATAGTTTAACTTAAAATTGTTTCCTTTCCTGTGTTTTTACCAGATGATAGTTTTTTGTGTAACAAATTATAGGTTTATACCTAATAACAAATTATACCTTCTTCTAACTTTCAGACACAAGTGATAAGTATATTTTATATTTGCAAACTATAACAATTTCTACTAAATAAGCAGGAAAATTGATATCGAAGAAGCGAATTCTAAATAGAACATGAATACGACGAACAACATTAGTTATATACGAATAAATAGGAACCACTTCTTTATATCTACTCGTATTTATAATTGAGTCGTTATGAATGTCATTTTATTGTCGAACAAAATAAGGTGTACCTTATTTACGAGAAAGTAATATAATAAGCATTTTTCAGGGCAGGCGCGATGGCTCAGGTGTTGGCCCCAACTGAATATTGAAACGAGTGTGATCAGAATCGAGATGCAGTTTTATTGTCACTCCGCTCGGGAGAGAGGCTATGAAATTTTATTGCTTGTTTTGAAAAATTCTCAAGAATTCTTTACTCTTTACTATGCAACCTACGAATCCTGCAACTGCATTTCTATACACTTTGCATTGAATTGCATTTGGTAAAACATTACAACAATTACAATGTATTTGTACATACATAATAATTTGAAATATTAATTCAAGCTATTTTTATTTCATTGTATAAACTACCAACGACTTCAGAGTAAACAATATTGAATAGAAAAGAAATAAAAGGGTGTCCTTGATTCATTTTAAGCTATTGTTAAGAAGTAGTTATTGTTATTATTATTAATGCTAAATTTATCGCGACCGATTGATTCGTAAAAGCAGATATAACCAAAAAGAAACTTATATCACATTAATCATTATACATTAAAAAAATACATCAACTTTAATCCTGATCTAAGACTTTTCCAAAAGTAAAGCGTAGGTACAGTATCAATTAACTAACTAATTATTCTTATAAAATAATGTTATCGCATAAAATCGGCAGGCCAACGTTAATACACGTTATTCTTTTATTGTTATTGCAATCTGGCGGTAATTTTATAAATGTATCCCGTAATGATAACATAACATTTTCCGAGCTGACTACGCTACAAAACCTTTAATTACAATTACAGCGAATGTTACCAATAGTCGTGTATATTATTAACCCGCGAATATAAGAGGAAATGAGCGCTGTATCTTAGGATTCACACGCGACTGAACTACGCTGCAGATTGTTACGAAATGTGCCGTAACTAATGTAGCTAATGTGCTATAAAAGGGGCTTGCTTTATCTACATCGCGACGTTTCTGTCGTGAGCTCATAAATTTATGATTATTGTTATTTGACAATTTGAAACATATCTGTAATCACATTTTTCACAACAAGAATATTTATATATAAAAAAAAGTTATAATGATACGTTACTTCGTATAATCATCATCGATAGGAATATCGCTACCTTGGAACCTTATTCTATAGTGAGATGAGATATATCAGGTCTGGAAATGTGGAATAAAATTTCAAATGTACGAGTTTTATAAAGACATGTTATTTTTATAGCATAACACTCACTACAAGTATGTTTATATTAACGAACATGTCTGTTATTATTTTAATTATACAAATACCGGAATTTTCATTAAACGAAATAACATGGTATTATTGAATAACCATGCATGCATCAATTACATAATCTTCGTCCATCGAGGCCCGGCGGTGGTCATACATCAATCAGCTGTTGTCGGCGCGACGGGTTCAGCAATCAAATAAAATTTAACTCAAAAGCACCCGTTAGCTCTCATACGTTGGAAATTATACCGAAAAAAATAATTAAATGTTACGTATGTTTTTTATTATTCATTATATTATAAGGATTTCAATAAGAGTACAAGCATACGAAATCCACGATTCCATTCAAAATTCCATTTTCAATTTGAGGTCTAGAAGTTTTACTACTTAATACTTGTTCCGACTGACGTATTATTACATAAAAAAACCTTAATTTGTATAATATTAAGTATATATTTTTAATCACATCTCATATATTTGTAACAGATAAATTACAAAATGTAGTCAGTAAAGTTTAGGTTTTAAATACATGCACTGTACCAAATTATACAGGTATATTTTGTGTAGGTCGACATACATGCATGTAATAGCAGAATACTGCATTAATAACAAATTCTTTTATTATTGCAGTTTGTTAAAACAAACACTGCAGTATGTACCTACACATGGTTCACACACACTTTTATTATCTTTATTAAATTAGAACTTTGCTGTAAAATAAAAAAGACAATAAAAGTGCCAGTCATATGGCGAAGTTAGTTTAAGATTAAATAAGTTTTGATGTCGGGGAGTAAAAGTTATGTAGACGTAAATTGCGTAGGTATATAGGTATATATTATAATATTTGTATATGTAGAAATACAAAATATGAATGAAATAATTAAGGAATATATATAATATCGTCTTTCACACATATTATATATTAAGAACTTTTCATGAGGCAACTAGTGTTCCTAACATTTGTCTAGAATTCCATACATATTAATTACATAGTATAAAATAAAGTCGCTGTCTGCTCCTATGTAGGTATGGTTAAATCTTTAAAGCTACGCAAAGGATTTTGAAGTGTTTTTTTCAATAGATAGAGTGATTCTAAAGGAAGGTTTATATATATAATACACTATTAGTTTATAAATATATACAATACGGGTGTACAACCCGTACGAAGCTGGGGCGAGTAGCTAGTAATATTATAAATGTGAAAGTGTGTATGTCGTTTTCTATATTTGTTACCTTTTCATGTCTAAACAGGGAATAGATATAATGAAATTAGACGTGATTATAGCGTATATATAATGATCACGGAGATATACTATCCATTGTCCAAAAAAAAGTATATGGAGCCACGGGTAACAGCTAGTTTAAAATAATTACAAATTTTGGTCTAAAGTAGTAACCAAATATGGACCACATGGCGTAGCCGTTTGTTTGAAACAATATCCGGAAGTGGCCTGAAGCAAGGATAGCTGGCATCCTTCTAATCAGAGGACCATTTCGTGTCTAACTACCTTAATTGTTAGATAAAGTTTGTCTTCATTCGGTCTCCAACTTCAAATATTCGTGTTTTATTCACCGTTAAAATTGAAATCAAATACGTGAAATAAGTATCAACCCACCTAATTTATAACTTCAATAATGTTTGTGTGTACTGATTTGAAATTCTTGTTTAGATATCATACATTTTATGTTATATTTTATATCGCATTTTACTGGTAATGGAAAACAAGCTGGCAGCTCACATGACGAAAACCGGTAATAGTCAGCTGTGGACATGAATAACATCACTAACTCTTATTATACTCGTCATGGATTGCCATTACAAATGTTATGTTCCCAGAAATTTTATTGCCATAATCCACTTCTAAAACCGGGTCTCGAAAAAGCTTACAGTGCACTTAGGTACAGATGAGTATAAATTGAAAGCTTTATTTTGTACAGATGGATGTTATTCTATACATACATAAAGTTATATTTATACATCAACATATATACAGTACATAATAAATTCATATTGCAGTATATTTTACATGGATTCATAATGAAACAGTAAGAGTATTTCATGCTTATTTAGTTTGTTCAAACGATATCTGTAATCGACAGTCGCAATTCACCGAGACGAACGCAGCAATGGTTTTAAATGTATTGAATGCTATCTGTCGCCAGATGTCGCTACCAGCGTCCATCTCGGTGAGTGGTTACAAGTGACGTCAATTACCACTAATGCGGGATAACGTTAGGTCAGGCGTATTAATTACCAAAATGCACAGGTAGACAGTCTAGGTGTTGGTTTAGGATTACAAAGCTTGCAGACCCATCTTCACACTGTGCGACAATATAATGTACCTACTATCCCATGTTCTACATAACGTGATACATATGTTATATGTGGTGTGTATACCTATCTATGCGGTACTTCTAAATTATATTAAAAAATTAAACCAGGGTTATTGGGTATTGTTAACATAAATTTACCTAATATTAAACAATGTACCCACATACATATATGAGTAAAAAGTACTATGTTTGTTTAATTTATGGAGTACTATTTATATTTTTTTCACAGAGAAACATAGCAGGACGGTCGCACCAGGTTACTTGCAGGAATCCCGTCCTGGAAATTGCCCCACAACGTTTTGTGTTTGTGAACGACGAGCCTTCCTTCTCCGGATTCCACGAAGAGTATCCTGCATCCTCCAAAGTTTGTCCTGTACATGTAGGGTTAACACTGAAGCTATAGTTTATATACAGATATTTGCAAATATTACATAGTAAATATGTATATGTAAGGGGAGGGGGGGGGGGAATTGGGTTTGTTAGTAATGTGGACTAATCACCCCATTACTAGCAATGCATAATGTCAGATTGACCTCCACGCGGTTTCTCCTGGAAACCATCCTGATAAATAACTGGTGAATTTGTCGACCTGACTTGTTCATCTTGTCATCCTTCACTGGTGTCCCGCCAGCGTATTCAGTTAGCGCTGGTGGCAGACCATTCTATTATCACGTATTAAATATATATATATATATGTAAGTGTACTTTTGTAATTTTAGAAACTCATAGTGGTGAACCTTTTTTGTCACCAAAAAATTATTATTGTTTGTAAAACCCACAAACCTATACAATTTCATTACGATTGCAGTTTTTGCAATTCTGTTTCATAAAGTATTACCTTTTATAGTTCTGTATTGATATGGAAACATAAGGTCACTAAATCCAATATGCAATATATTGGGATCCGGAGCAATGCTATTCAGGTGCTGTCCAAGGTAGCTATTGATTAGTGTAGCTTCTGAAGCCGAGTTAATAATAGCTAGATTGCCTTCTTCTGCCTTGCAGACCATATACGCGTCGTGCCAGGATAACGGTTCCACGTGGTATTTATAGCATTTACCATTACCTCCATTAATGTATTCTGGTAAGTAATAAATATGTTTTGATTTTAAAAAGGCACATAAATATCAGGTCAAGGACGATTACATGTTTTGATTGGAATCTAGATTGCCATGTTTTGAGGCAAAGTACTGCTTATCGGGTAGTTTGCTTTACTTTATGTACTCTCTCACACACACATCAAGTCTGAATATACATGATACGTGCATGATAGGACGTGACCAAACATATTAATAAGCCTATGAAAATCAATCAAAGTGATGAAATTGCCCAGACATTCAAAGTAGCCTATCAATATTTAAGTCTAACTCATATAGACATACCTGAGTCATAATTATCACAGTTTTCATTATATTTTATATTACTACCCATTATTTTACAAACAAATGGAAATATATCACTGCACTGCTTGTCATCAAAAAGTCCTTCTCTTGTCATTACTACACAATGTTCTGTGCCATTCAAATTATCTGGAGAGCCTTGAGCCCAAAGGAGATTTAAAATTGTATCTCTTATTAGTTCGCCTGAAAATAATATGAAATTTTCTCTGTAAAATTGTTAATTTATCAGAAATTTAATTTTAAGTATTAGCTTCACCTTTTAAATTAACATAATCTCCACTAGCGTATTGGTCGTGTATTCCAATAAATATAGCGGTATAGTGAGCCTTCATGTTACTGATTAGAAGTTTTAAATTTTCCATTTCGTCCAAATTGTCCGGCACGAAGAGGGACGTGCCTTCGACTTCACAGATCTGCCGTGCCTGGTGCCAGTTTGTAGCCATATCATGAAGGCGGTAGAATGTTTTGAACGATTGTGCCCACATATAATCCATCCGAAATTTCTGTGCTAATAATTTATTTTAAGTAACACACTATTACTACTGTTAATGTATTTTACACTACAGGTATTATTAGATTTCAATTTATGTAAATATTTTTTTATTAGATACAGTTAAGAACAATTTACTAACTACGTTTATATGGATTTTACCCTGTATTTGATTAATTCTTGCAGCGAATAACAGCAACAAGTGTAAAGAGAACATTGATAAAAACTAACTAGATTTGTATTTGTAACTATTTTATGATTGAAATTAATGCTATGCTGTATGCATACATGATTAATACAGTTATAAATATACACCTTTAAACAAAGCATATACATATATTGAATACATTCTTCTTAAAGTTACAAGTGAAATTACATCATAAACACTTTTGGGGAGTTGGTCCCAAATTCAATCATCTGATATCCGGTTCCGGTCGATCGCACCCACAGATCTGTATCTGTTATTTTTCCGTGATCATAGGTTCTGCCGACGGAGTGGCCCGTCTAACTCGGTCCTTCCTGTACCTACATTTATTTGAATCTCTTTTCTAAGAGATTTCCTTTTCTGTGAGTGTCAGGTAATTATCTGTGTGGCATTCCAATTTTCCGATCGAACGGTTAATTCAGTTTAAATCTCTTCGTGTAATATGTACGGCTATAGGCAGTACCTAATCCTAGTCCCTCGGAACCAGTTCTCGAGTCGGGCAACTCGGGCGAAACGATTTAATATGGAGTGGGATTCTGTATTCACTTGTTCAAGTAACACAAATGAGGTTTTAATATATTTTTAACTTAAACGTTATTGTACTAATTTATTACAGCAATGTTATTCTTAGGACTCACTTTTACTTTTTTGTTTAAATTTTTCCCACTTTTCAATTATATTTCTATAATAATTAGAACAATGATTTTACGTGTTGTTACTTACAATACTTTTAGAAGATAAATCCTTACGGCTGTAACCCCGAATGGAGTAGTCAGAGATATCAGCTGTCGTTTTTGTGGTCAAAAGCAACGATTTTACCGCGTGTACGTTTATTCTGTTTCTCGTCTCGTAAATGGAATTGTATGTATGTCTATAATATATATATGAACAGCACTATGGACATTACGATATCATGTGACACCCTGGATACCACACATGCGTTGCATTGCCAGAGCACTAAGAGGTCATGCCACTTATCCTGTAACTTCCTGCCTAATCTGCTCGCTACAATCTAAAATAATGACTGGTGGCTGAAATAGGTGAAACTGAGGTACCTACGCATACGTTTTTTTAAGTTAGTCTACCCCTGGTTAGTTAAAAATTTAAAGTGACACTATCTTGGCTAAAAGTGATTTTGAGGTCTTTGAGTTGGGAAGTAAACCACTAGTCTATGACGATCTTCTTTTATTATCATAACAATATAAGTTTATAAATTATACTGTATTATTTAAATTTATATTTTTTCTTATCAGCAAAGTTTTTAGAAAATTCGTTGTAATAAATATCTCTAAAGTTTTAAAGTTATTTGCCAATTGCTTATATTTTATAAATTAAAGCAAAATGCTATGTATGCTATATTGACATAATACTCAAAATAGTTCATTCAGAATACTCAATTCCATCTCCACTAAATGGGACCTTCATTTCAGTAAATAAAGTTCGGTGCCAACTCATCAGCCGCAGTGGGGCGGGATCTGATAAAAGTTGTCGGAAACTTTCTTTCGCGATATCGCCACCTTCGTCATGTAAATTGGACAAGTTGCGGCCTGAGCTGATGCTTGTTTCATTGGTAAATATAGATTAGCTCTTAATCTCACCACTTTTCGTACAAAATTGTTTCCAGATGAACGAACGGTTCAGATCGGGTCGGATCACGAGGGTCGAGTGTCTTAACTTTAAATAGATACATAGGTACGACTCAAATGAGTTTCATATTTAATTAAATGTTTTGGTCTATCATTATAAAAAGTATATAGTTTAGTTTATTTTGCTGATTTTAGACTTAGACTAATTACCTGTAGAAAATTATACTAGGTATAGTTATAATTTTAAAATTTAAGTCTACATCTATCTAATATGTACATAATATTTAGGAATATTTTACAGTACTATATAACTAACTAACTAACTAATATAACTCAAAAGTACCAATTAATATTAAATATGCCAGGAACGAAAGCTTTTTAAGTAGATATATTATGATTTTATAGCGTTTATCTAAATGTCCATATTGTCTTTAGAGGATTGAAAGTTTTTATTGAATCGGCCGAGATCTAAAAAGTAAATAACTTCGATACTTTTATCCTTTTCAACCGGGTTAACCCGTAAACCATCTCAGTTTAAGGAGGCATTAAATCGCAACTCAAACAAGAACCGTTACAGTGAAGTTAACTCACATATTGCTTTGTGTCACGAACGTTAAAGCGAACAGTGGAGCTGGAGAGATGTGATGTTGGAGAGGGATGGCGCATGCCTAGGGTTGCTAGGTTGCAATATTGAAGTCAGATTTGCAATGCAAACTCTAAGCTGGGAATTTAAATATTTGAGCTGGATTTTTGTTGTGTGAAATTAACATTTGGAGTACAATACAGGTTTAATGTTATCTTTTTAAATCATTGGTAAATAAATATATTTATAAACAGTAGATAGAAAAAGAATATTAATGGACATCTTTTGTATTCAAATAACAGTTTAACTGTCATATGCAGACAAGAACGACAACATGACTTGAAGATATTGTATTAGGTAGGTACACATACATCAATCTCTGAATATGTTTCAAGTACAATCTACCCAATTTTTGCCGCCATAATTTTCCTTTTGTACATTATAAAGATGCCATTATATTATATATCAGAAAGAAATATAACAGCATAGTCTCCAAAGCAAATTAAATTACGAAAACTACAGGAGTAATATATTTTGTAATAGTAACAATTTATTATATCAGGGTGATAAATAGCAGTATTATAAACATTTTCAAATTTAGAATTCATATTTCGAGTTTATTCATTTGGGCCACTTATACACGTCAGATATTCATAACCAGTTAGATTATCTAAATAGAGCAACCCTAGATATACTATATGGGAGATGGGTGTGGAGGGTGTAAAAGGAGAAAAACTACATGGCTAAAAGTGAATGCGGTCGAAAGCCGCGCTTATTTCTGCGCTAAGTGCATGGATTTCTTTCAAGTGATGTTATGAGCCGGGTACGCTAGGGACATACCGTTTTCGTATTCACTAGCGGTACACAAAGGAACTAGTTTCGTTTATTATAGACAAATGGAATTCAATGAATGGCAGAATGGGGATAGTACCACAATTATAATATCATATGTAAATAGATAACAAATAGGGCTTACTCAGCTATATGAAATTTTTGGATTCAATATTATCGAATCCTATTACATGAGGATCAAATAATGTTCATGGGTTCATCCAACAACTTGTTTAACATTTCTGTAACATAAAAAATCATACATATAAATAAAATTGTTTATATTGTGTTAAGATCGAACCCGTCACAATTTGAAAGTGCGGTAGTGCTTTGTAACATAGCCACATTATCGCATATATTGTTAATTTGTTATAAATTTGCTAAATGGCCAATTGAACTAACTATATTAGTACAACAGAGTTTGTGCAATAAATATCAGTCTAATTAGGTAAATGCATGCGGTTCGTCAGCCATGACATCAGATAATTAAGCTTTTAAAGGTGTATTATGCTCATAATTAGTCGCTTATTAAATTGCGTATGCTCCAAACCCTAGCAATACGCAAGAGAATAAACCATCAAAGCAATAATGATTTATTAAACTAATTGCGTTTTTGGATTGTATATTTGATTTGTGTAATGGATTACTTTAAGCTCTTACTATGTGCAAATAAACAAAGTAAAGTTCTCTTTTTGAGTAATTAGGTAATAAGGGTAGACATGATGGAATGTTAAGTAGAGAATCGAATTAGTAATACAAGTAAAATTTAGTTTACAAAAAAAACAATTGTGGTAATTTCATTATTTACAATTCATTGTATGATATCGAAATTGATAATTGGATTCAGAAGTAAACATTATCAGGAACGTTAATAATCAAAATTAATTCTATTATATTTTGCGAATATATCAAGTACCTACCTACCACTCATGAAAATAATGCCGCCGACTTGAAACATATTTTTTGGCAGTGGTTTAAGGTATATTGCTAATTAATAGATACATGCAAATATAAACATTATTCGTAAAATCGCTGAACGTCTACTTTCTATTATGCTTTTCTGTTTCGATTTTGTCTATAAATGGTTCTTGAGATATAAAATTATAAAAGCAGACTGGCTCTTTCGTAGAAGTACTTTACATGTATAAGAAGTGCAGTGAACTGAATAAGTTAGAAATAATACAAAAAAATCAATGTAACATAGAATAAAATGAGGAAATTATTTATTTTGACACAATAAAGAAAAATAGTGAATTGAATACGATCACTCCACGAGACGATTTCGCATTGAGCCACTTTATCGGTCGTAACAATACTATTCATCGCTTAAGGTAAATAAAAGTAACGTGTTTTTGACATTCATAAGGTTATTGTAGGCGAATACATAAGAGCGGCCGCACCTGGGGCCCGACACTCACAATGGGCCTATACAATAAGCCCGCGAAGTAAACTGAATAACTTTATTTAAGAACACAATAAACCACTTTTTACTAGAAAGGTGTGAATGGTTCCCAGGATCGTGTGGGTGAAGAAAAACACCGATATATTTTTATCGTTAAAATCAATCAGAGCAAAGTTTTATTGTACGAATATGATTTTACATTACATTCGAAAGTAACGTACAAACCTCTCTGGCATTTATTCAAAAGAAAACAGAATCAGCTGATATTTGCATCAATCGATCAGGGATTTGTTTTTATACGTACATGAATGATTAATAAGCTAATGAACCAGTTGATTATGTGTCGCCTATATAGGTACATGAAGAGCGCCACGATCATCGCGTAATCATGCGACACCCATCCGTAGTATGTACCTCGCCGAATGATCCCTCGTCTAAATCAAACGGGTATCGAAATTACGTCCGACCGAGGTTAGAACCCCTAGCGGTGCCCTCAGATTATAGTCGTATCCGTTAGGTGGGAGTTGGCCTTCAGTCCTCCCGGTGGTTTAGAGTGCAATCTGCACTAGCCTCCTGTCATCCGGTGTAAGGATGTAGTAAGCTATAAAGACTAGCTGCGGCATTAGATGTAGTCCGGAAAAAACGTACCTATTACGTACTACGTTTTTTTTTTAATTTCAGATATCTCTCCTCATGTGTTTTCGATTTCAGAGGATGATGATTATTCATATCATTATATGATATACCTCCGTACCCAGTAATTTCATTTTTTTTTATTTCGAATAAGTCTCTTCATAATGTTGAATTAATAAATAGAACCAATTGGCTTTAATTGTTGTTAGTGGGCAAGTAAGTGGGTTAATATTGTGTTTAAAAAATAAATAAAAGGTCAAACCTTTACTATTTCTTTTTGATTTTATTATTTATCTATATGTAAGTATTACACATTTTATTTATTATCCTTTTATAAAATGTACGAGAAACAAATAAGAGAAAGTTTAAAGGTTTGTATAAGATCAGTGAAGCCCAAAAGTTATTTTCTATTTAGAACATTATTCTCCTGGTACTGGAGCAATGCTCAAGAACAAAGACCATTGAAAAACTAGGTAAACTGTCAAGGGACATCCGTCGTATCCACAGTAAATCGGTACAAAGATTTTTATAACACAGCTATTATAAAAGCGTGTCCAGTTAAATAAATATACAGAAATACATTTCTGTTCTAATAAGAAACACTATACCAGAGATTATATTTTGGTTATAAATAAAGTTAATAGTATTTAATTGTCATAGGCGATATCAAAAATATTCTATGACAGGTACATATTGTATAACTATTTTTATATGTAAATCATTGAAATAAGAAATTTCAAGTATTCGAAAAGTATTAATTGGAATGGCTAGTATCGCTTCTTACTGATTTTGAATTATACTTCTGTGTTTGTATTCATCACCTAGTGGTCATCGAAACTATAATGTATATTGCTAGATATCGGTCATCGTTTATTTGTTCTGATATTACTGCAGTGAAGTTATATGTTAAGTACTGGATATATAAACTTATAAGTGGGCATATTTTTATACAGTATTAAATACTATTATAACTATACAATATTGAAGTAATATGTACACTTAGACTACAAATTAAATCTCATCATTAAGACGAATGCATAATGTAAAGTACGCAGTAGTCTTAATAAACCAAGTCTATATTTAAAAAAACCATAAACTTTCTACTTGATCATTTTGTTTTATGAAATATTTGATTCTAAATTATTTACGAGAGCGCACTGTGTGTGTGCAATTCAAAAGTGATTTTCATTTCAACCTACGTTTCTTGGGAAGGTTATACATAAATAAATATGAACCTTATACTAAATTCGTCCACTTCATTAAGATATGAATTATGAATGGAGAAGGCATTAGCATCCATCTGGAGAGCGGGAACTATAGAAAGCCATTGTTATGCAGATTGTGACCGGACGTAGTGCGAGAATTCCCTTGAATATGGTGGGCTTGTAAATAAACATAGATTATATCAATAATACAGGCGAATTGCAGTCAAAGCATATTAAGTACCAAACTAAGTAACTAACTTAGATTGCGTGTGTTATTTGTTTTGTTATCTTACACAAAAATTATATATTGAGTTTTGGAGAAGATATTGCATCAAACCCATACATAAAATATTAAATGCTAATTAGAGGTTCTATTATTTATATTATGTAAGCAGGGATTTAGTATGATACCATTATACGAATTATAATGGCATCATACTAAACCCCTAAATAAATATATGAGAATTGTTAAATCACAAAGATTTAATAATTCTCTAATATCCTTTAATAAATCTATAAAGTAGCTATATTATAATTTTAGGATAAATATATACCTTAAAATGACTACTACTACTACTACATACACTGTTTTTGTTTATACCAGAGGAATGGTTATTTCGACTTATTACGCGTGTATGTTTGGAAACACTGAAATTGTATGAGAAGAGAGATAAATATTTCAGTTATTACGTAAATCTTTTATTCATGTCATTTTTATATTTAGGTAATATAAATACACGTAGATGTACAAAATTCTAAAAGATTACTTGTTTAATAATTACTTACAATTAAGTTAATTTAATTTTTATTACTTATGTAGTAGGAATAATAACATTTACTTTTAACTTTAATTTAAACGTTGCTCTGCGTAAGTTTAAGTAATTTCTTTAGCAAATTATAGACGAGAAGATGAAAATGTAAATATTGTTTTAAAAGGAAATGGAATTTCCTCGTCGTATATAATTCTTTAAGATGTGGAATGTTTTAACAAATTAAATATACTGTGGTGAAAATGCGTACTTATCTCAAAGTCACGTGTAACTTCAGACAGAATTTTAGGTTTTACGGAATTCTAATATAGATAATATAATACCGTTATAACAATATCTTTAAATATCATTCAGTAATAAATATTCAAGAAGCTTTACAACGTTTTAAATTAAAAATTGCTAATTTATGTGTTTATTATATATTTATTTATTATATTAATTAGAGTCTGTCTATGTGATACAATCTATATTCATGCTAAATTTAATTAGAATCTGTTGAGCCGTTTTTTCGTCAAAAGTGACAGACAGATAGATAGTCACACACTCTTTCGTATTAATAATATTGATATGTATACTTTAGTAGTAGAACGAGTTGAACGTAAATTCTATCGTCGACGTTGATTGTTTATTGTATTATTTTACTTATAAAGGCTATAAAGAATAGTAGGCAGGGTGGACTTACTGCCACCTCTGAGTTATAGATCATTTTGGTTTGATTATGAATCGAATCTTCCTTTTAATTTTATGATAACCAGTTGTAATAGTTTACTATTTGAGACAAATAAATATTATTATTAGATACACTAAAGAATGCCTATATTACTCTAATATGTATGTATATTTTAACAAACTATACTATATATATATAATACTCGTATTTAAAAGGCTATAAACCAAAAGCTTATTGAAATAAAGTTGCGAATTTACTAGTAATGGAACAAAATGAATCCTAGTGAAGATATAAATTATCTTCACTAGGATAGGATTTCTTTAGATACTAATAGTTTACTATATGAGGAAATTTTAATTGAAACACTTCATTATATAGTTTTGGTGTTGGCCAGATTTTAACTCACGAGCATTAAGGCTTTTATGAGACGGGTTTGTAAATTACTAGACAACAATGCACTCGCTTATACAATGTTATACTATTATTACTATTCTTAAATTTGTTTATGTTTCAGAATAGAATGTTCTAGAATCACTTTACACACATTTTTTTAATTATTCATTAAGTTAATTGTAGCTTTATAATATATTATTTGCTACCCGTGACTTCTTTTGCTTCTTTTGCTTTTTTTGCCCTTGTGATCTATGTTCTTGCAAAATTTTATAAAACTGTATTGAGCCATTTATTTGTGAAAAGGCAACAAATAGACAGATAGATACGGACATATTCGTATTTATAATATTAGTATTGTTATTCTGTAATATAAACTACCATCAGGACTGACCTGAGTATATTATAAATTGATTTTTAAGTAAAATGTCATCTGTTATCACTTATGTATGTATTTGAAACAGGTCTACTAAGTAGATATGTTATGTGTCCCCAAGAAGATTTCTGGCAAGTATATAGCAAGTAATAACTGTAGTAGATAAACTGAAAGTTAGGGACATAGGTAACTACACCTCACTTAAGATGCAAACACAGGTTCAAACCGTAGCAAGCGCTCTTGGGACTAAGCGCGCCTATTGAGTTAGTGCGCACTCTATTCTGCTCCCGACAAAGACACAGCTCTATCCTTTGGCAGTCTCGTCGTTTGAAATGGCCGGAAGACGGATCACTGACTGAGCATGCCGCTTATATAATACAGACATATTTTATCACAAAATCTATTTTTTTAAAGGTATTGAATAATATATCTATTTTTTTTTTATGTAACTGGAATGGTAAATAAGTTTATGTCCTATCTGATCATAAATATATATATAAACGACTGTTATATATATATTTACATGAATAGTAGTACGGATATCATGCTATCATGTGAGTCCTATAGTCTTACTCACGAGTAAGACTAGGACTAGTAGTCGTAGGCATGACAGTCTTCCGGAATCAGAAATTAGTAATAGTACTATTCCGGAAGAAATTCTGTTATGCCACTGAACTCTGCAATTTCATTATACAATTCTGAAGATAAATTATCCCTATGGCTTCAATGGTATGTTAATATTCCATGTATGTATATTAAGGAGAAAATTTATAATGATGTTTTTAATTTCAGCACACTGCGGCAGTAAAATATTTTTAATAGAACTTAAATACAAATGACTCCGTATTATCTATGAATATATATTACATATACTACGAAATATTTTTTTATATACAGACTGTATTAAGACCTATTTTAACGTATGTACTATGATAATTCTTGCTACTTGTTATAGCTGTTGCAACATCGTTGATTTCTTTATGTATGTGTTTTAAAAATATACATATAATCATTTAAAAAATATAATAAGTATTTTAGGGTCCTTTTCTTTCTCTAAGCCGTCTTATAAAAAAACCTCATTATGATTAAAATACATAAGGTGAGTAAGGGTTATATTTTTTAATTCCAGTAATAAATTACCTGTAACCTCCAACGCAATCACTGTATCTCTCTGGTAGTGTTCTCTAGCGAGCAATATAAACCACAGTAATGCCGCGCAAGATAATGCAAGGAAACTATTAGAGACTGAGCAAAAATAGTGGACCAGTTTCTTGTTAGGAATAATAACGTACCTAAGTCAGTATAATTGTTTGAATAATTTAATTATAAATTATATGTTTTGATAAATTAAGCGATTATCTTAATATCATGTTCTTTAAAAGCGACTTGCGGTATTATAGTAGTAAATTACTGGATAATAATATAAAAGATATATTTTAATACTTACCTACATATGAAATATTGTTACAGTATTGAGTGTTACAGCCAACAAAGTCCCATTTGCACCCGAGACACTGTGCTAGGGTTGTCGCAATGAAAATAATAGAGCCCAAGGTAATTTCGCTAATGCAGCGGTTACACCTATCTAGATCGCACTTACACCCGCCTTGCCCGAAGGTACCTATTAAGAGGGTCTACACACAGGATATTGTCAGACCTTCCCTGAAATTGTCTATTTTGACTAAGTGTTAAATTAAGGTAGACCTGACGAGGGCCCGAATCTCACAAGACACGGGTTATTCAATTACACAATATCTGTGACAAAATGTACTGTAATTGTGTTTCATAGACGTATGGAAAATTATTCGTATGTATACTATACACATATAGTTTTCAAGCCACACTTCATCATCATCATCAAGCCCGGAATTTAAAAATTTCCACTGCTGGACATAGGCCTCCCCCAAAGATCTCCAGATTTTCACGTTATCACACTTCATACTTAAGTCGATTTGTATATGTTACAATAAATAAAATCATGTACTAAATCTAAACATTCAACATTTTAGGATTAATGTTTAGATTGTCCGTACTTTATTAATACGTTTTAAGAAATAAAAAAACCGATTAAATTATGTACTTCGTTATATTTGTTCGCAGGCAATATTATACATTCATTTAAGGCCGTTATATAAAAACTGACATATTAGTTACAATTATTACATACAGTTGTAAAATTAAAACAACATACCTATAATAACAAATCATATACTATCAAAACTATATTTTAAACAGATTAATTATTAAAATTTGACATGATGTTTTAGGTCACAGCTTACAAATAATTGATCATAAATTTCAACAGTATTAAAACATTAACAATTTACAAAATACCCTAGTTATAATTTTAACGTGGCATTAAAAATTTACATTCATAATGATAAACACTTAAACGCAATATCTGAAATGTGATTAAATTAATTGCAAAAACCGTAACGCTCCACAAAATTATACATGAGCAAAATATATATAAATCACATAACTACATATTTAAGTATACACATTTTGAAATTTTATAATTTGAATACACAACATTAAGACAGATATTTAATAAACATAAATCAGATTAAATAAATTAAATACATAAAAATGAAACAGTTCAAGTATCTACTAGGTACAGTAAAACGTACTATGTCTTCTATTGAGTATGGAAGTAAATGATTGTTATATATATATTTATATTTATAGAATACATAAATAGTTATATTAGCTGTATTAAAAGTAAAATATATACATTCAGATTATGTTGTTCTTATCCGTTTTTAAAATACGTTTAATCTGCGTATAAACAAAGAAATTCATATTTGAATATAAAATTAAATGAACTTTTAAAAAATGAGAAACATTTCTACCTAAAATTAAAAACAATATTTTCGTATATCAATAAAACCATTATACATCTACGTATATATTTCAATATATATCTACATAATGAAACTGAACATAGGTACAACATATATTTAAACTAATAACAACAGACAACAGCATAATTTTATATATTTAAATAATTATTAGGTTAACAGACACAGGTGCAACGTATGGAACTGTTGCTAATTGCACCCTCGATATCAATTATGAAAGCATACAAGAATATCTTTACAGGCGTGGTTCTGTAAACGACACTATCATTATTCTATTTAAATTATATAATTATATACTGCCACAGTCTCCTTATATTGCCTTATATTCTATATTTCGTTATTCTAGGCAATACCTATATCGTTGCCAAAGTTCAATGACGGATACACTTCTATATTCTGTACAATGTCAAGCCATGCACAAGTCAACATAAATGATAACAATATAAAAACTTTAGTAGCAATGATGACAAAAAGTTCAATAACAATATTTTAGATTCCAAAGAAATGAGAAAATCTTGTATAAAAGTTGGAAGAACAATAAATACGTGATATAAACCGCGTTACTTTCAGTCAAGGAGCTTAACTTTGCGCATGGCTTTAAGGAGAAAGTTTAACATGTGGCGTATATTGCGACTGATATTAACAGTATTGTGTATGAGGACGCGTGTGTTCCTGACCTGGAAGATAGGCCCTCCCCGCCCAGGAAGCCGGCGTCTTCTGCTCGGGGTCCACCTTCGCGAAGTGAACCCTGGAGACTAGAACGCACGTCGTTTGTTTCCTCTAGGGAATTTTCACGTTCGTCGTCGTCCTGCGATTTGCGATTTGGTAGCTCCATTTCTGTACAAATTTATTATTATGTGACATTGCTATTTTATTATCATTTTGCATATGAGCGAGAGTTTTGGTAAATAGGATCGGTAACCATAATTATTTTATGTTATATATATATATATATATTTAAATTAAATTTGTAATTTTTCATTACAGCGCGTAATGAGTTTTTGAAAACCCGCATACATAGATATGAAAGTGTATATTGAAAAACTGAGAAGTTAATTAATTGTAATTACATCCATTCTATATAATGATTATATATAATTATTAAGTCTAAACACCTTTACTTACCATATAATCTAATATTGCCTTCTGCATCACCTATAGAGTTTTTGGAGATACATTTGTATCCACCGAGATCGCTGCGTTGTATATGCCGGATTATAAGCTTCATCTGAACGCTGTAAGCCGAGCTATTGATCTCACTCATCTGGTACTTGTCGTTCGATATTATCATTTCACCTGCATACAAATAACATTGTGTGAGGAGTGTGGATAGGGTTTTATTGCATCCCGTAACGGGAAGCTATATTGGTGCATTAGTTAGTTTTGTGACGGGTAAGTGTTCGCATATGTATCGTTTTATTGCTTAATACAGACATCTCTGCATGGCTACATTGTACAGTTATTGAAAGAAATAACAATATGGAATGGCAGAGAAATTTATTGATAATATGTTTGTATCAGTTTGTCGACGAGGTAAAATATTCAGTAAGTATTTTTATATTCATAGATTACACTTGATTACATCAAGTCCAAAGTTGAACAACGAAAATTATGTAGATCAAACTTAAAAAACTGTCATATCCAGTTTTTCTAAATGCTTTGTAATTTAGTTTCATAAATGTATAATAGCAGAATTTACGTTTTTGTTTGGTACAAAACACACATTTTAAACATTGATTTGGAAGCTTTTAACATTAAAATGTTGCATCTAAAATAATATCTACTAAAACATGAACCACTTCATGGTTTTCGTTAATACAGTTATTTGCTTCAATAGATACGTTACGTGCATTCGATGGTCACAGCTATCCAACCATTTATATTCGCGCACTTCCGTCCTTTGTTCGCCCGATATCGTATTGAAATATGTTTGTTTCACTATCGTGCTGTCTGAACCATTACATACAAACAGACCATTCATATTACATAGTATTTAAAATAAAGTCCTACCTACCAATGTGTTTTAGGTATAACAAAACTAGTTTGAAATAATATTCTATCCCGTACCATGCAGCAATGTCAACAATGAAATGTTGATTTTGAGAGCAAGTGTTAAACACTATTTGTTCCCGTTACATTTATCAGTCAGAGAGCTAAATTGCTTACGGAATTTGCTTTAGTCATTTGCGTTTATTGCTGTTTTGATATTGTTAATTCTATCAACCATGTTTGTTTGTCTGCATATAAAATACTTAAAATATATAATGCTTTAGGCAGACGCATTCAGAATTTACATCGTTAGATACATTATTACCGCGGCCGTAGGTCACATCGCTTATTCTACATTAAAAATTGCTTGCATTCTTCTTGCTCCGCTTTATTTTGTGGGAGCAGTTTTATTTTTATTTCCATCCGCCATGGTTTATTCCGTACAAAGATATTTAATTGAAATTTTTCACTTTTTCGGCGATAGGTATTTCATTATAGAATTCTCGGTACTGTACTCTTGGAAATTTGTTGCGTAAATACAGAACGCAATAAAATAACTTCATGTGAATTGTTCAAAGTTGCATAGTTCTCCCCTCTTAAGAGACATAGCCTATTTATTATTACTATGCTAGCTAAAAGGTTTGGTATATACTGTGAATTTGGTATACGGGCGGTTGTATTATAGAATGTACTGCGCAGATTATGCAATATCTTATGTGTTGCCATGAGAGGAATATATTATATAATATTATTGAGGAATAATCTATTCCTCAGGAATGGCAATACATGAGATGTAATGCATATTATCGTTTTAAAATTGTCAACTATTTACTTTTGAACAAAAAACACAAACGGATGCAATATAAATAGGTTAGTATGTGGTGCGTTTCTAGAATATAAATCATACGTTATATTTAAAATGCAAAAAGGTATGCTATATTTATCCTACACTAATATATTCCGACCATGGCGATACAGCTGATATTTGCATAGCAATAGATAAAATATACGTACATAATGTGCTTATTATAGCATAATTGTTGTGTTTAAGTAGAGAATAACATATTAGAACTTTTATTAGAATTTTATACTCTCAACGTTCTATTAATAGGTAAACAATAGGTGACATTTTAATATAGGCAATGACAAGGAGTAGCGGTTTAGCATGCCGTCTTACATGGGCGCAGGGTCGATATCACACTACACAAACATTTGTATTCATAGGTATAATTGAGTATTGAGTCGATGAGTATTGGTTTGGTTGTATTCTATGTATAAGTTATTATTATTATTAAACTGCATGTTAAAAAAATATACAGATCTATAATTAAAATAAACTAGATACAAGTATGATCGACGATGTTTTTATTTTGCACTAATAATTGCAAATATATCGTAGTTTCTGCAATATTTACAATATTCTGCGGCTTTAACAAAGAGAGGGTACACAGATCTTAGATTATACTAAAGACATTGTTTGAATACAATTAATAATATAATCTGCTTTAAAGGCAAGAACAGTCAAGTGTCGTAGTTTGGACATCGACCTATGAATTGACCACAAATCTGTGGTTTCTGTCTGCTACTGACACCTTGATGGTAGCCGTCTACCACAGCCCCTCTTTTGTTTATTGCTCAACAACTTTGTTAATTAATTGACAATATTAATGCCTTGGTGTTTGAAACTTCTTGGGCGATATAACAAAATGATCGTAATATTATCGGTAGTTTTAGTTTCAAAGTTTCCGTTAAGTATGCAAGTTACTTTACAAATGTGATACAGACGTAACATTTTCTATATATGGTAGGCCCTTATAAACTTTTTTATATTGAATCGATATATATATACCTCAATATTTTTTAATAGAGTAGCTGTTTACTATGTCGCCTTTGGAGCAGCCTTCATCTCTCATTCTCGTGAGCCTTCATCTCTCATTCGGGAAGTCTTTTCATAGCGATTTTTTACCTACATCATATATACATATATGTATAAGGAATTTGCTTCAGAAGTTTTTGCTTCCAGATAACCTATTTTTTTGGCCTAGTATAGAACGTTAAGATTTTTTACATTATTTACGATCCCCTGTTTAAACCCAAAACTTGGTCGATAATCCGAAGTGATATAAAAACCCTTGTCAATGATATACGACAAAGAAATTTTAATTAGAATTTGGTATCAAAATGACAACAAAAACTGAACTGAGGCTGCGTCCTGGCCTGGTCGGGAGAGCCGGACACACCCATTCCATGTCCGCTGCGGCTCGCCAGCCGCTTGTCCTGGCTCGTCACGCCTGTGTATAACCTAATTTAATTTGTACTCCCCGCAATTTATAGCCTGCACAAGAGCCGTCCACCCCCCTCTATTTGTTAGTAACGTCTGCGTCCACGCGCGCTTTACATCCATGTCGAGCGGATTGATTGAAGACCATACCATATGAAATTGCAAAAACCATTTTCAGTTATTGAATTTCACAATTGGATTTTCACATGTACCCATATTGTTATAGTTATGTGTAAGTAAATATGGTGACTGTGGCATAGAGCAATTTGATACGAGCGGTCTGGCGGTCTTTGTTGCATATCAACCGGTAATAGAATTGGGCCTGCTTTTTGCGAGGTCGGACGCTCTGGCGGCGTAACAGCGAGCTCGGTTGCCTTTGTCACTATATCCACCTATTCCCACGATCAATCTGCTCCTCTGCGATTTATAGTTCTGATGTTGGCACTACAATGGAGCCATGTATTTGCTATTTTCGAATTTGAATATTACACGTTTTTTTAATTATAAATAATTATTCATATTTATGCTGTAAGTTGCTAGTACAAAAATATTGAGTTGTCAGTAGTTCTACACGTCTTTCTGTCTGTCTGTCATGTTCTTTTTGTTTTTAAACTATAGAATTCATTAAATAAATAATCCTGATAGTCCTGCCCAACACATTCATGATAGCTAGCCCGACATAGAACTGGACTATAGATACTAAGATAATCCTTTAGATTGGAAATGCAAAGCCGTTCCAGAAATATGTATGAAAAACTAACTGTAGAAAACTTTCATCTGTATTATTATAAAACAAACCTTTAAAAATATTAATATATGCATATACTATTTTTAAAAGTAAATATTTGGAATATTCGCGCGAAAAAAGTAAATCTAGATTTAAAAGGACAGTGGCGTTTAACTAGAAAATCACTTTAAATAGACCGACAAAAATATAAGTTTAAAGACCGCATTGCGAAAAAGTTTTGTTCGTTTTGTCGGTGCCGCGGCCGGGGCAGCTGTGGCCACATGGTGTATGTAGACCGCTCACACATGTCGCGGCGGGCGGGCCGGCTTGCACCGTAAATCCATTCCTAACTCGACTTTAGTAGGGGAGCGTTGTCGACCACTGTCCGCGCACTGGTTGGGCATTTCAACTGAAAATTCTCTTTATATATAGTGTCGGAAAATTACAGAAAAAATGGCACCGCAGTTCACTGATAACAAACTATTTTAGGTATTATAACCGTCACATTAACGCCAGTTTTCGACTGACTGTAAAAATGAGGAGGTTACTTATTTTACCGTTTTTATTTGTATTATAAATATTCTATTATATTATTAGAGGAAGATTGCTTTAAAAAAATTCTACAGGATTTCTTGAAATTTTTATGGAAACACGGGATCATGGGAAAAAATATCCTGGTAGGTACATGATACAACAATACTATGAGAAACAGCTAATATAAATTTGTAATAACAAGTTTTCTATTAAAATATTTTTACAAGTAATAATGCATATTCCACTAATGATGTAATTACAGTTTACTCTCTCTCTCATTACGGATAATTCGAGCAATTCCTCGTCACATTAGATACTGCAATAAAGGTTTTCATGTGAAACAAATCACAAAATTAATAAAAAATACGATCATTTGTAACTATAATTAATATAAATTATAATTAAATTTGAAAGCACCAGCTATTATGTGTATATATATAATAGCATATGTGAACTCCTACAAAGCATGAATCTCTTTCATTTAATATTGTACATGAACCGTAGTTAGATAAATGTTAAACTTATCTTCTGTTCTATACAAAGTGAGTGTTTTCACCTATCTGTCACTAGAGCACTAAATAAGCAACTTTTATCCTGAGGGTACCATTTTAATAAGGACTAATGAAGTTCCCGACCCCTTGATGTTTTGTTAGGTTAAGAGCCTTATTTGTATTAGTTACCACATGTTTTCATTAAGTTCACTTGTTATTTTTCGTCCCCTTTAGATTCAATATAATAATTTACTCATCACGATCTTGAATAAGTTTTAATTAAAATATTCAGCTGCTATCTATCTGCTCGTATTATGCTCTGTTTTACTTAGTGACGTTATAACAATTTTACTATGGATTCCTTTTATTTGTTTAATTAGTTATTTGTATTATATTGATATTTAATTAGGAGCATAAAAGAAAAAGATGTAACAATTTGACACTATATTATAAATGTACTAAATCAAAATAAATATATATTTGTACCTATTATATAAACGGCTTATTTGTGTAACACGTTTGTATATGATTTAAACAATGTAAATATATATTGTGATCATTGATAAGAGTCCAAAAGTTAGTTACGAAAAATTTTAAATGAACAGAGAGAAATCAGGGGTCACTAATCTTACTATCGCTTTTCGAGCATATTTAATACTTTGATAGTATTTGAGCTTGTTATATCTTCTCAAAAAAGGATATCTTGTCCTTCCTAGACAAAAAGTTACAAAATACTTTTCTGATTGAATGTTTTATAGTAAGTTCTGTAAGTAAGTAGTATATGTGCATCCTAATGTTATCCAATCTTATAGGTACTTTTATCAATGAAGCAAATCATTATACCACTAATATTTTTCAGAACGAACAAGCTTATTTCCTTTCATTAATATCGTGTAATATTTTACGTTGTCATCTCATCGGTATAATTACGGAGTCGTTAATAAGCCGTAACATCGACGCTGTATAATCAAAGTCAAAATAAATCTGGGTGGAATGAAAAACTGACATGAAATAACCGCATAATTTTTCCTTTTAAATACAACCATAAAAATGCCATAACTTGTAGCAAAGCACTAGCTACAGAGGCCTGTCGCAGGGGATAGTAAGAACATGAATAACGGCTCGTTTAATGAGTGTTTTAACGCTTCCGATGTGCTTTATGAATAATGAAATTAGTTGCTTATTCCGTTCTTGAGGTTCGTGCTTAGTACTTAATAAACCTTATAGATTCTAGTCTCTCGTAAATAGTCAATTTATTTTATAGCCGTAATCAAGATCATAATTACAGCTATCTGATTCTGAATAAAATGAAATAAGATGAAGCTTTATTTTATAATATTCTCTCCAATTAACTAACGAATGTATACTACATTCGAAAATGATTATATTATATTATGAAATTAAATTAAAAGATAAGAGCGTGTAAGTGAATGTCGATTAAGTTTATATTCGTTATTAGCATAAGTTACAAAGGACGATGTTAGGATATTGTTGTTCTTACTGTTAAGTATGAAATTCTACTTCACAATGGAGTAATAACTGTTATTAGACAATCGTAATAAAAGGTAGATCCTATCATAGATTTAAACAATAAAGTTTGAAAGTCTATCGTTATTGTTTGTTGCTGCCAACAACAACTACTTGAAATCTTGACTGTATAGATAAAATTGTAAAAATAATTATAAATGATTTTACATTATAATTTTAGAATAATGATTACCATGTCAGAATTTCTTTTTGTGATAAATTAGGTATAGCGGTTGTGTTCTTATTAACAAGATATCACGGTGTAATATGTATTTTTTTGTTCTGTGTATTGTTATATTGAATGTTAGCATAGATAAACATATTTCTTACCGTTTTCTCTTGTCCAGTAGTTAATGGCTTTAGGCGATGCCTCCACATGACACTGTAGCGTGACATCTGTGCCTGTCGGTGCCCCCACCAGTTGATTTGGCACTTGTACTAAGGGATGAACTGTAAAAATTGCATCATGTGAGGAACAAAAGTTACACAAAAGTATGGATTCATGTGATTGATTAAATAATTTAAAGACAGAGATATACTTTTTACGAAGTTATTTGCGTATTATCTTATCATCTCTGTCTCACTGCTACAAAATAGTTTCTACAGAGTATAGGAGCATGACATCGGGGTTCTTTGGAGTAGCCACATAATTATGTTGGCTATATGTGATATGATATCTGTTATCACGAAGATAGACGAAGTCGCATGTAAGAGATAACTATTACTAATTATCTCAACTTCGTCATACATACGTACAAACATACGGTACATACAAACTAAATTATAAAATACCTTATTCCACGCATATTATAAATATGTGTGATTGGTTAACATTTTTTTTAGAATTTCCAACATTTTAGCGTTTGTTCAAAAATGCATCCACAAATCCAAAACTTTGGTTGGTCGGTTGGATAAAATTCGACATCCTTGTAATATATACAGAATAAATTTAAAATGTTTGATGTTTATAAGCGACATCCGGATACGAGCTTTTTAGTTTACTAACCAGACGTAATCGTGTTCTCGCCGATCAGTACATGTGTGGCTATTACTTCTTTTTGAATATTATTATAGGTTATATAGATTTAATTCTATGCGTAGAAGAGAATGTGATTGATAATCTGTGACTATAAAATAATTTTCATTTATATTGATTACCATCGCCAATATTATATAGATAATTAAGTTTATTTACTAAATAAAAATACGGTTTCATAACCATCTGTTAATTCATATATGATTTATTTGAACAATGTGAAGTCGGTTCCGCTAATCAATAACACAGAATTGTAACAAAAAAAACAAACATAAATTATATAAGGGTTTTCAAACCATTTCTCCGATTAATCTACTATTTTAGGGACTTATTTATCGTTTTACGCATAAAAAAATAACAATAGGGCTGATTGTAGATTATAAAATTTGTATGATGAATATTTGTTATAACTGAAAAACGACAAAAACGCGAGTAAAATATGGATTATACTTTTATATTCAACTTTGCTTTTCTATATGTCACTATTTGATTATAAACTATATACCCACTAAATTTTATTTTGCAGAACAAGCACGTACCTATCAAATAATCAGTTTCAAGGAAAAAAAAGTATTAAGAAGCCACAGAAATTCAAAAGTAACTAACTATATTCATCCTCGTGACAACATGTCTTTATATTAAAGTTTATTAAGATCATTTTAGTTTTTTAACCGTAAAAACTTAACAAACAGAAAGATTTTCAAATTGATATAAGTTACATGTTTTCGATGAATTCCACGTTTCACCAGCACAATTCCATGCTTCACCAGCAGCAAAATAAACATATTAATTATAAAAAAGGAATACTTTTAATTATAAAATGATATATTACTAAATCCTGCAATATAATATACAATTGTGATATCTTTATTGCAAACTTATGTAGTTAATTTATAGAGTAACTTACATTACTCAAATATTAATATTATTATTATGCAAACTTATGGGGTCGAATATTACTCTTCTTAATTCCACAGTACAATGAGAAATAATAAGTTTAAAATATGGCTATAATAAATACAAAAAAATTAAATCCACTCTACAGTTTTACTCGCGTTTTTGCGCACATAATTTTCAGTTTGGTTTAAATCCCCTGCATTTACTTGAATAAAGACACATTTACGAATAAGTGCAGTCGCAGCTTTATGAAATTCATTGAAATGTTAGGTACATTGTTGTGTACCACACGCATCGGCAAACTGAGCCTATCAGTGGGCAAAATAGATGGCTGGTGGGGAAAATGGTAGGTATTATATTATCCTATTTTAGCTTTTATTCACACAACAACGACATACTGTCCAGACTATTATCCCGCATAAAGTATTGCCAATTATCAACGTCCTAGTAAACGATACGAAGCCTTATATGTATTACATTAATATTTATTAAAACAGACGTTTTTTTCTACTCTGTGTTCCAATTATGTGTTATTTGTCAAATACTAGGTTTAACCATCATTTCTCACAAATTTTCATGTATATAATATACTAGTGGCGCACCCTAGCTTCGCTTGGGTGTTGGTTGGTGTATATCGTGTTTTTATATATATATTAACATAACGTGCAACATTTGATAATTTAGAATAATGTGGATATAAAATAATAAAAGAAATTCTCTTCTTTCTCTCTAGCGTTTATCCAATACATACATACAAAGCATATACTTTTTCTCTCCTTATAATAAATATTACAATAGATTATGTATTATGTAAGTATGAAAAAATATCAATTTCATATCACACCTACGCTAACATTGGCTTCTTTCTTCATAGCTTGAGCTATGAATATCTTTATTGAATCTTAAAATAGCGGGATAAAATAAAATAAAACGTAAAAGTAAAATAAATTATCTGGACATCGTAGGAATTATATGGAAAATTAAAAATAAGTTGCATAAGTCATCTTGATATATAATTTAAAAATAAAAAAATTATCTCATTTTTTAGTTAGATACGAAATCATGACCTATATATGTTTATAAGTAAAAGTAATAAATCATTAAGTTAGTACGCGTCAGCAAATCTATGCTATTAACATAAAATTTTATTTATCTTAAACATAAATGAATAGAACATACAGATTTCTCTCTACGTAGATCTCCTTACATTTGCATTGGGTAAGATAGTTTCTTAGTGTCCCATATTAGTGTGTAGCTCGCGTTTAATATTTACTTTTGCACTCCACTCCGCCACTTTGGTGGTTAAAACGCTGCTACTGTCAGGTGTTTACTTTGAATATTATCCTAGAACTGGCTGCATACTGTTTGTATCAAGTGTTTACTGGACTAGTTGTTTGTTCGCAATTAAAGTCGAGATTCCCGATAGCTTAGTTAGGACTTAAAACAAATGAACATTTGGTAGTGTTGCTAGATAGCATAATCTATTATAGATTGTAGAAGCTTTGTGTTGATATAATATTATCAAGTCTTGCTTTAATCTTGGAGATGTTTCTATACTAAAACTATATCAAGGAAACAAAAATAACTATTTGTTAGTTACATTTATCTTTCTAAATTTTAAAGATAAACAGGTAAAACAGAGCGATAAATTAAAATAATTTATGATTATAAAATAATTTATGATAAAATATTAATGATAATTAAATTAAACTACCATTTATTACCAGAGTATTTGAATTGCTATAATCAATAAGCAGCAGCATAAAACTTAATGTTCATATTAACTTCTCTCATTTCAAGAATCTTGTATACAAGTATTTTTTTTAAGAATATTTATAAACTTTAAAAGTATTTTAAGTAACGTTTTTCATATAGCAGCTGTCTTATGCACAAGAATACAATCTGACACTATCTAACATTGCGATCAAAGTAAAGAATTTTAGGAATTAATTCTATGGTATTTCAAAATTCTTAAAGTTTGGTTTAACATTAAAGAGAAGGCGAAGATCAAACATCAAAGAGCTAAAACGTCGCCCCAGAGAAACAAAAGCGTCAAATTGTTTCTAAAAAGAACGGATTATTTCACAAATGTAAACAATCGCACCAACATCCCCAGAAGTCTGTTTAGGGTGAATTAAGGAAAACGGAATTTTCTTACTCGGCCTTAGATCGGAGCTTATTTGCGGTTATTCTCTTTGACCGTCGTTAAGTTCCTTTGGACGGCTTTTACGAGTTCGAGTGGCCAATTTAGCGAACAAAATCTGAACGATCAGAATTTTTGTTCTAATTAATAACTCGAAGGCGTGGCGAGGAAAATCTTTTGCTTATTAAATAAAACGGAATAATGAGGCGTTGAAATGTTAATCTGATTGAAATTTGGGGCAGTGACAATATTAGTTTATCGCCATAATATCAAGTCTAAATTTAAGTAAAGAACGTAATTAAGCAATTCTTAAATGTATAAGTAGATAGGTATTCTCAGCAGCAATCAAAAGTTACGGGGAGTTTTCTTGGTAAAGATTCCGCGCGGAATTCTTGAAGTGACAGTTTGATTAACCGAGCGGCGCACACGCCTCGCCCGTTTTCGGATTTCTTGGCGTTTTATATCCTCTAGCAACCTGTTTAAATAAACTGTATTCTGCAATTCTAGTTCTTTCTAAAGGAAATATTTATTCTTTCTCTTCTGTCTTAATCCATGATGAGTCGTGAAATTAATTATACTGAATTGCAAGTCCCGGTAAATTGATAGCGATTTGTTCACTTCGTTTGTCTGTGTTTCTTTTTATCTAAACACAATTTAACGCTTCTCTCGGTTTCTGTGAAACAAGTAAAAGAAACTCATCGCATTACGAAGCAGTTACTGTAGGAATGAATTGCCTCAGTGTGGGCGCTTTAATTTTTTTATACTTTCTCACCGCGGCCACAAGTCTGCACGATCCACTGTTATCATTCGTTTTCGGGGGAGGAAATTTAAATTAAATATTTGAGAGCGTTAATTTTGTCTCCTCATCGAGCGAACGCGACGCATTCTTTGTGAAGTAATTAAACTGAGTGGAAGGGTTTCAGACGGCAGTAGTTTGTTTGTTCGCTTAAAATTGCGTTTCCTATGAAGTGAATTTCTCCCGGTTGTCGTCAAGTCCTCGAGCTATTGTATCTATAAGTATCTGTTTAATAGGTACTGAAAGATATGAATTCTACGATAACTTGTTCGACACCATTCATTTTTGATTAGTTTGGAGTTCACAATTCTTAAGACAGTTTGATGTTGCGGAATTGACGTTTTTAATATTACACTCTTCGTCGGATAAGTAATTTAAAAGGAGAATTAATTAAAGTTTAAAAGTGATAAATCAAATTTCTTTGAAATTTGTTTCAAATATTTAACTTCAATTAGACACATCATATCTGATAATGAACAAATACATTATCAGATATGATGTGTACAAACTATAATTGTATGAAATATATCTCCTTCGATATCGTTTGGATACTGATATAACTATAGGATTGAAACTAAGCGTTTACGCTATTGTTACGCTATCTGGTGTGCCCGTAAATACTGTACAATAAAATATATTATAACAATGGTATTTCTAGATTTAAAATTAGACACAATGTAAATTATCTACATCTTATAGTAAATGCCATGTTTAACATGATTCAATTTCGGAGATTGGATTGGATTTAATTATCCAATTAAATGTGGTCTTATCGCCATTTTCAGATTAATTTAATTTTTTTATTAGTGTTACTGACATCGGCAAGTTAGTCTAAAATATAGTAGTAAAAAGCTTCGTAACAACCAGATTCGAGAACTGAAACCCGGAGTAATAGACTAAATCGTAGGCCATCAGTTTGTAAGCCTATTCAATTACATCAAAAAAAAAACGCGCTCATTATGGTTACGTATTACAATATGAATAAACATCAAATAAAGCTTTTTACTCCTTCAATAAAATAAGTAAATAGTAACATCACATCAAATTGCGAAAATATTCTATTATTATACCTTATTTATAATATATATTATTCCTTAACGTTAAATTTATGAATTTTATGAATAGATATTGTCTAAGAACACTAGTACATATATACAGGAAAGAAGATAAAAAATAATGTGTGGTTAAAGTTAGGTGTAAATATATTTATCCAATCAGACAAGTGTATACATGGGACTGCCAATAACAGAATGCAAATAGAGCGTGGACAACAACACAGATCGGCGGAGCAACGAGCCAGCTGTTGGCGAAAGCTCCGAAAAACTTTAATATTTAACTAAGCTTACAAGCGAATGGACTTGATCAATGAATTTAGAACTGTTAATTAATAAATGAAATATAAAATTCCAATATGTTAGCTTGGCAGAAACGTCATGGATCGTGATTGAGTATGTACATTTTCGACTTTTCATGTGCCAAATTTTACATGAAATTGTTTTTGTGGGACATAAAATTGATGGATTGATTTATTCATGCATGTAAAAGAATTTTAGGATCCTTCATGTGTGTTTTATTGAATTAAAATTGCAAACAGTCAAAATGTTATTCATAGTTTCCAAATAAATAGTACAATTTTGGAAAGCGCATACTAAATTAGATGAGTTTTCGGATTCATGAATTGTTGCTACGACAATTCCCCTTTGTATCATACTATCCATGCAAATGGAAATGAGTTCATACGTCGAAGCTATGCATATAATGTTAGGTACTGATTTTATACATTTAGGCGATATTCAAGACTATGCGGATATAGGTAAATAAATAGTAATAACAGTATGGATATGTATATAGATCTACATAATAAGAGTGAAGCATTTTCACTCTTTTTATATAGAAATAATAACACCCTAGAATCAGAACTCTAACTTATTCCTATACAATGACACACAAATAAAAGTTTTATGAAATCCCAAGATTTATCGATTGCTAATAGGATATAAACACTGAACAGTTGGATAGTCAACAAGCTTACTAACTTTCACTAAACACGACTAAGTTGCCGAGTACAGGCGGCGTTCAACGTCCAAATTCAGATGCAAGACACGCACCAAAGATGATACGTGATAACACGAAAATCTACCAATTGCTTACGTGTTCGAGACTAGGGTCTTGGGTGCCCTCAGCTCCCTACATTGAATAACTCACCGCTTATAAATTAGTCTCGGAGATCGTGAGATAAGTGAGTTCGCTCGCTCGCACCGCTTTTTGCTTGCTTTACGCAGGTGAGTACGCTTTATCGGTTCAATTGATTCACGGGGGGAATTCCTAATCGATGTTTTACTTCATCACGTCGTACTTTACGTGCTCAATTCATTTAGAATCTTGTAAGATTATTAGAATCTCTATAAAATTGGCTATAATTCATCACTCTCTCTTATTCTTATTTAGTATAGAATTATAAGTTAACATAAGTTAATAAAGATAAATAAAAAAATATAACAAATTAATGAATTATCGTGAATTGTCAATTATCGGTAACTGTTAGAGAATTGTAATTTATAGATCATTGTCAATTCGTCGCTGTTTTTTAGTGCTCTGTAATAAATATCACAAAAGAATAACACTTTTGTACATATACCTAATTTTTCACATATATTCTTATTTTCCAATCATTATTTTCCTTTAGTTATATATTCCTATAGTTTTCGTTTTTCACATAACCGAGTTTAGATGGTGTGTTAAAACATGAATATTAATATAATACACAGAAAGAGGTTCAATTGATTATGCAGCATTCGATTTTATAATATCATGATTTCTAGTACTAATTAACATCTATAAAATGTTAAGAAAAGAACGTATAAAGTTAATAACATAAGCAAATATACTTACAATGAACATGAAGCATTATTCTTTTGCTGACAGATGGAGGAACACCATTAGCTGCGATGCACAAATAAGCACCCATTTCGGACCGGGTTACTTTCGTCAAATTTACTATGTCACCTTCCAGTGACGTTACTGTGAACAAAGATGAATATTAGGACAATTTTTTTAATGCAACTATAATGGCCACTTGGTGGTAAGCAATCAATCGTCTCTAATATACATAAGAGCATCAGATAAATAGATGACCACCATCATATGACGATCGTGATTTACCATGTGAGGTCTAGGGTTATGTCTGTACTCTGAAATTTCACTGACATATTTTACTCCTCAACCGTAACATAGCTTATAAAGTTAGCATTTTAGCAGCTGAAATTAGTATATATATATATTAGTAGGATAAGTAGACAGACGCAGACAACTTTGTACAAAGTCTAGTTCCGTTTTATCAGATTGTTTTGAAATTATGAGGGTATATTACTGGTTAGATAGATTATTTATTAGTTTAACAATATGAAGAAAAATTTTGTAAATATTACTTATATTAATACTTCAAAAGGGAAACGATTATACAACTTATATTTTTCATACAAAATTTATATTTCTAAACCCATGGGGAGTCGTCTGTGTTACTATCTGCTGTAGTGCTTACTTTGCATTTCACTAGAATTGTTGGAAAACACTTCTAACCGCCAAAAGTTGACGGGTTCTGTAAACAAGTACCGTTAGTGGTTTGAACTCGAGCTGTTTTCCTGACACCTTGCTCAAATGGCACCCGAGTACGTTTACAGCCATTATTCAAACAAGAGGATAAAAAGCTGGGGCAATATTTTCCGAAGGAGCTGAAGGTTGATGGTTTAAAGTGTAGAGCTCTCGAGCCGGGCCGCACGACGTTTCGTTAGCAAACAATGAGAGAATATAAGCGACGGAGCTATTTCGCTCTTAAAATTATTATTAACTTTAGATATAATAAAGAATTATGCGGATAAGTACTAGTGTTTGTCAACCTTAATTTCAAATTAAATAAAAAAAACAATTATTACATTGAAATATCTTGTTTACAATAATTAAATTTTATATATTTATAATCTAAAAAACATTTCTTTTACGTTATTGAAATGAAGCATATAAGTACCAATAACATATCATATACTTAAAAATATTTTAAATGAATGGTAGTTTTATAATTCCTAAATTAAAGTAGATAGCTTACTTAAAAAGCATAAATTCTTTACCATTTCACTTCAAAATCAAGTATATAGCGGTAGAATATTCACCAATGTCATATTTCAAATTATCAGTTTTTTTATTGATATTATTATTATGAATAGTACAACAATTACGTTATAGTAATAGTAAAATATTTTTTATATAACTGAAACATAAACTCTGGATAGCAAGCCGGCTAACTTGAAGATGCGCCCTTTAATAGACTTGTCCTATCGATGTGTCATAAGTCAAGTGATACTCAAGCCCCACGGACTATAGTGGTTTTCCATAGATATATGAAATTAATGTAGGGAAATAAATATTACTTGAATTAAATTAAAATAGGTATATTGACCTACCTATAAAGCGTACGTATATTTGTGATATATGTATATGGATGACATGTCTAGATTACGTATGTTATTTAGAGTTTTAGAAAACAGTTCCACTTAAGATTCTGTGTGTTTTAAAATTATCTCTTTTAAAATTATCAAATTGACTTAAACTTAACTTTGCTTGAGAAAAAAATATACATTTTTTATAACATACCATATACCTACTTAGTTATCCACTAAGTGTAGTACTAGGATATAATAGGAAGTTTTATGTACAGTTCAAATATTTGATAAAAACGAAAAATATTATTTGCTACAAGATGTAAAAAGCATTAATATTCGTTTGAATATTTAATCATAAATAATATAATTCTTTTTAAGAAATTAATAGTAACTTACGGTTAAGCTGCAGATCATGACAGTTTTGAAGTCTATGTGGCGGTATGACAAATTCTACAGCGCAGTCCTTCTTACAAGTGTCCTTGAGTTAAATTGAATAACAACACTCCTATGACTCTTTGTCTTGAAGTTATAATTTTAATTAGGATCTTGAAAAGTTAGTGTTCTATCGACTTTGTACAGAATAGGTAATTATTGCTTTCTATTAAGCAGGGCTCACCACCCAAGAAAGCAAGTTTAATAAGGCATCAAAATAGATAAGTCTTAATGGATTTTCTTGTAATTGGGGTGGTTGTGAATAGCTTTTATCTGATTCATGCAAACATTTTCCTTCGAAATCAAAAATGGTTATTAAATATTCAAGTTATTTGATAATGGGGATTAACAAGTCCGGATAAGGCGAAGGGGCACTCCCGGTATCTGTTTCAAACTTAGTAGATGAAAAGCGTCAAATAGAAGGATGGCGAAGTTAATTTGCATCAGTGTACGAGTAAGTTTCCGCCATTCATTCGCTTATCTGCATAATTTGCTGTAGAACATGAAACAAATAGGCACGCGACACGCCGTTGTCACCACAACATGTTTTATGCGAAACAATAAAGGGCAAATTTTGAATAATAACCCCTTTGTCTGTTGTTACCTAGTACTGTAATGTTTGCTGTCATTGTAATTATATCGTTATTGCATCTGTATTATTTCATCTGGGAATAAATATGCAGTATCTGCATTAAAATAATATTATGGAAATACGACAATATCAATTAATTCACTAGAACAAGATATCACAATAATTTTAGCAAAATAGCCGTATACCATATTTTTAAATTGTCATTTGTTAGCTCACGTGTATATACAATAGTATTATATTAATACATACAGTCATATGAGAAATATTTATAACAAATATTACAATAAGTGTAATACATACATATACAATAATGTTTTATGTTAAATTATAAAATATTGCAAACTTCTTTAAATAGTAAATATAATGAATAATAATTAAATTTTAATGTTAAAAATATTATTCATTATATTTTTAAATTAATTTTTAATAATGAAATTATTTAATTTTGAAATCAATAGTTATTGTACATACTTAAGCCTTCCAATCGTTCTTAAATAAAAAATCGCCACTTAATCCTATTTTTTACAAACACAGGCGAATATCCTCTTCTCTAGCAAGTTATAGTCATAAAACTTTCTTGAAAACATAATTAATTTATATTGTACCGTAAGTAACTTGGGGTAACAAATTTATAAATTCGAAAATATCGCCGTTCATTAAAAAACTATGTTTGTCGAACCGGACGCCCCTCGAAGTTTCCTCATTGGAATATTAAGCGAAGAAACATTGGCCTACGTAATGGATAGCTTGTATTGTTTCCAGCTCAGATTTATGGAGGTAACTTGTAACGGCTTCTTTAATTAGACTTCTTCACTCAAATTGATGATTGTTATTGATGTTAGTTAATTTAAAATCCGTCAAAATGGGTTTCACAGTAATAACTGCGCTATTATGGTTAATTTAGTAGGTTACTACGTAGAATCTCATTACTACAAAGTAAAATTATGCTTAGGACGCATATCATATTGTTTCTCGAACTTAGTGAATTGCCGTTATATCAAATGTTAGGGCGCTTAGTGAGCTGATTTGAAACTATTGAAATGGAGTGGCTGTGAAAGTCGTTTAGTTACCCTTAGTACTTTGTTAACTTAATGAATTGACTGATGGCTATAGAAGCTCTGAACAGTGGTGGGGTTAAGTGGAACCTGCTGATTAATCACCCTGTCAGTAAAACTGCCATTTGCCACTTGTCACGAATCCCATTTGTAAGTACTATAATTTTTGGTTTAGCATTCCCCAACTCAATTGAATGTCAAATAAGAAAGTGTCTAATGATTTATTCAATTAAATAGAATTACACCAGCTTGCCTAAATTATAAATTATGTCTAATAATATAAATTTATTCTTGATCTAAAGATGAAAGAAGTGTTGCTTGAAGCTATAGTGAGATATTATAATAAAAGTAATAATAGCGATGGAATATTATATAAACATTGTGTAATTTTAGAAAGCCTTGCTCCGGCTCTTTATTTGGCCGAGTGCAGAGATGAGTAGGTAAGTAATTATTCCGGACCGTCTCGAGGTTGTAATCCAGTGGGATTAGAAAGGGCGGTGTGAATGGTAATAGCAGCTCCCCAAGGTGCTGCGGTGTGATTTACTGCTAAGATTCAATAGTGAATATTTTAAACTCTGATTTATTTGTTACCCATTACTTTAAGTTCTTCATATGTCTTTTCATGACTATTGTAATCTAATTAACTAGCAGAATGAGTCTATATATTTCTTTAATTAATTTAGAAGTGTGACATTTTAACTTTGCCTATGTCTTGTACTATTGAAATATAACACAACAATAAACTTGCCTATTATAACTATATATTTTTTAACTTTATAAATTTTATGCTTATATTTTATGTATATAGATAAATATGTATTTATTAAAAATACATTGTAGAATTTATAATGAGACATAATGATAGTTTACAGAAGTGACAGTACATAAGAGTAAAAGCGTTATACTCGCATTGTGTTTTCTAAAAATAAACATCTAAAATAAAGGTCGGCAATTGAATGTCGGGTGTCGGTCAATATAAACATAATAGAATTAAAAACATAATGAGTTTTTTGGTAAATAGTTATGCAAATTATAACTAATTATAATATAATTAATTAACGATGTATTAACGTATAAAATGAACTGTTATAGAAATTTTCTTCATAAAAAGTACAGGAAAACCATTGTTTTTAATGTCAAGATTAGCGAACTAGTAAATGCACAATTTAAAAGTGACCTATTATGCTTCCTGCGATGACGTGCTATATGATATAGATCATTGTCGGTATTACATATTATTTAGTAATAAGGATCGGGTTTTATCTAACAAATTATTCAATAATTATATTGAGATTAAAGTAAGTAGCCGCAAAAGGTAATTATAGTAAATAATAAGGACATAGCACGCGATAGTTTATTGGCTTTTATGTAACAATTATGTGATTTTCACTTAATATCTGATTACGTTTTAAAATTCTTTCTATTTTTAACTATCATATTAATAAGCATATTAAGAACATACATATTCTAAACTATGGTGCATATAAGTCTTTTTAGATATTTGTAGTAATATCATACGTGTAAGAAACTAGGAGTAGACATTTTTGATGACTTCTCAGAAACGGAGGATATTTTTTTAAATAATGGTTAGAGGATTACAGTACGATTGTAATTTTTTCATATATATCATGTGATATCATCGCCAATTGAGTATTGATATTAAAGTTTTTTTTTATATCATAATAATTTTGTTCCAATGGAAATTGTGTGTTTCAGTGAAAATCCTTAATAAAATTGATTATACGTCATGGTAAATACATAAAAAAATTTCCATTAAAACAAATATGCCGTCGTTACCTTTGGTTTTCCCTTGCGGACCACCTCTTGATATGATATCGCCGCCATCTTCTCTTCGCCATACAATCTTTGGAGGCGGGTAACCTCTTGCTTTGCAGACCAGCTTAGCTGACCCGCCTTCCGGCACCATCATGTCTCCTGATGTTTCTTCGTATATTATATCTGGTGGTATAACCACTTCTAAAAATGCTGTCTGAAAAGTAAGTTGTATTTTAACTTTCATGCTGTAGCATGTAGAAAGGTACAATTCTTTTTATGTCTATTACAATAAAATAGTAATTTAATTGTTATGCATAGTTACGCATCCATGTAGGTGTAATGACTTGAATGGGTTTTAAATTCAATAATTATGAAATCGAATTATGATTGTTATATAAATAATATCGTAAAGATCTAATGCTTTATGTTTCAGGATTTTTAATATACTACAAATAGCTAAAACTTAGACATATTTGTTTAATCATTATTCTGGGCATAATTCTTTCAAAGTTACTTTCATACTTATAGGTATATATTATATATACCTAAGTTTGGGAAGTTTGAACAGTCCATTTTTAATAATAACCGAAATATTCTTTAAATTATTCAGATATTTTGTAAACTAGTATCTACATCAAAAATAATTTTGTTCTTATCTATAATAAATGTGATGAAAAATTTGTCAAATGTATATATGATTTATGCAAATAAAACGGTTAGCTTAAAAATTATGTCTCTCTTATGACTATCAACTATTCATATTATTATAGTGTCTGATTTAAATCAGAATATTTAGCGGCTTTTAGCAAAAATGCAAAATTATTCAGACACTTTAGCTTAGCGAGATTTGAGAACACAAATAAACTCCGGTACTAGTTTTTATAATATATAGTTTTTGGCTTGCCATAGTTAATTAAGTTAAAAAAGGAATTCTAAGAGGAGAGGCATTATAAAGTTATGATATATATTAAATAATTATATTTTCATACCTTCAACGACTAAAATAAATATATTTATGTATAATACAAAGTACGTATTTATATAAAAAGTAAATCCATTATTTATACGTTTCCGTCACATCCACGTATACTCGCGCTATAGAAATAATTAAATAGGATGGTGTAATATTTTACCTGCATTTTCATCGGATCTGTATTAACTTGGCACATATATTGTCCTCTGTCCTCCCTTTTCACCCCTCTGATGTTAAGCGTCCAAGTGTTGTAGTCGTTGTGCGTGACGCTCAACCGCGCATTGTTCGTTATCACGTGCTCGTGGATAGCCAGGATCGCTTTTGTATCCGCCTTGATCCACGCAACCTGACCCCCGAACAATCCGGAGCCCAAGCAAGTGGAAAATGGAAGAAAACATTCTAATAAAACGAATAGTACGGCGCGGAAACGCAACATTTCTGTAACGATTATCTCAATTTTTCGTTGAATTGTAAAAAATAGAAATGAAGACTTTTACAGTGAACAAGTCTAATTACAACTGAATGTCTCCCAAGAGGCTGTCGCGACAACGATCCTTGAGCCAGCAACACTATCTTGTTGCGAGCTCCTCGCAAAATGCTCTCGGAATTTTTAATTACATTTTCGTCTGGTCGCCGCTATAGCGCTCTGCGGGCGGACTGTGAAAACGGCCCTCGTTTCACCCGCTTTACCAAAAGCGTCGACATCGCAATAGAAGCTAATTTCCTGCATAGCGTAACAAAAAACGAACAGAAATATGGCGTTTATACTTCTTTGGTGTACGTTCTGAGTTGGGTATTAAATTCCATTGTAGTAGTAATATTTAGTAGATCATATTCACTTCTAAATTAAGAACTATCTTTTTTAGAAGTCTTATGATTAAATTTCGTAATATGACAAATATTCTTCTACAATAATAATATTATTTTCTAATTACTGACACCAAACTAAATGCTTATACTTATGTAAACATTATCAAATTTACCTGATTGGTGTTATTTAAATATTAGATTACTAAATAAATAGTAGGTTAGTGCTGAAGTGGTGCTCTACACAAAAGTGAATATACAATTCAGAGGTAACATAATAAGTACTATATCAAGTGCTGGTGCATAAACAACACTAGTAGTGTTACTAATAGGATGCCTACTGTGGAAGTTTACTACATATAAAAATATAACAATATTGCAAAACATTAAAGTGCACAATGTGAGCGATAAGAAAACACGTTAATGTTTTCGCTTCGTATAAGAATACTTGCAATCCTTTCTTTTCATAAAGCTCTTACTTTAATATTATTTGAATAAGCTTAAGCGAAAGGATTGTAAGGAAAACGATGTAATTCCAACAACAAAAAGAATATCTTTCGGTATCATGTAAACTAATGGAATATGCCAGAACACATAAAGCTATATATGCATAGTATCATGAAGCAGCATGTGTCAATTAGTACTTTATAAAATAATTGAACTGTGCAATGTATGTTGTGTGATTGCCTACGAGAATCATGGTGAACCAAATTATCTGAATTAGTAATAGTACCGCATAAAATATCCATTATAAATTTACGTCTAACGTTTGTGGAGTGACAATATTGGAATTACATTGTTAGATATACGAGTATATTTATCTAAATAAAAACATAAAAGTTATAGTTACCCACAATTGGAACTCATCCATACCAGCGGTGCATATCGAGGTTATGTGTTTAATAGAATGTGTATGTGTATCGGCAATTTATTTGCTGATTCATAAGAAATATATAAGGTGATCGATATGAACAAATATCGGAAAAAACGTTAAGTTGTTTACATGAAGGATTCTCTTGAGATTTTCATCTGAAATCTGTATAAGTCAACAGAGGGGGTTTACACACGTGCCGATATTATTAGTGGCATGTAATTACTTACGAAAATCGACATATGAAAAGCAAACCTATATCGATGTAGTGAATTCATTGGTATATCGTGAGGAAATAGAGTGACCCACGGTAACGGTCCCAAAGAGACTATTATCGAATCTTGTTTCTCGCAGAATCGATTCAAGGTAGATATACCTAAGTATTTATCCACTTGTTCTGATGTAATGTACGGCTGAATTGTGAATAGATTCCTTCGTATTTCCTCCAACTGTAAATATTTTCTGAATTGGAGAGATATGCGATAAAATAGAACGATTATAGACGTTATTTTTTTTAAACAAGTATTACAACATTTTTTTTAATTTATTTATCAATACGGCCTTTAAAGACATTTCTTAAAAAACTGGAATGAAGAAAAATTTCTAAAGATTTACGCATACGATATTGTCGAATGGTTTAAAGATAGTGATCTAGATTAACTCCCGGGACAGTTTGAGAGCATAGCCTCTTGAAATGATTGAACAGGGACCAAGGGGGTTAGTCTCGGCTTTATTTTAATTTCGTAAAGTGACTGTTTTGCAACGTAAATTTCCTATCTTCAATATAGTTCAATCATAGTAGGGTTTGTGGTTTTTGTTAAGAGATTCAATGACTTGAAATAATCAAGGGATAGTAGTTCCTAAAATCGTATCTTTTAATTTATAAGAACGAAACTTAGTGAAAATACGTGAAAAAGTGCTGGGGTTGGCATGCTTCGAAAAAAAAACTTAAAATAATAAACAGTTTGTGCAAAATCATTAATAAGACCCAAGAATAATCCAAGTTATTCAAAGTCTAAATATAGATTTAAAACATTCCTGGATCTTAGTGTATGCATGTAAGTGTCTAGTGCTAAGTGCCTTAGTGTGCTAACACTACAGCTATGGTATACTTAGTTTTGTGCAAATTAGTTTGTACTCTATGCTAGGTAGACATAGGTACTAAGTGCACGTGAGTTGAAAGAGTGCTGAAGAAATGCCAAGTGTACTATAGAAGTGCGAAGTGTGCTATAGAAGTGTGGAAGTTGGTGCAGAGGTCTATAGGGTGAGATCTATAATAGTGAATTTAGTTTTTAAATACATAGGCTTCTATATTTTTCTGCTTCGATTGGCATTTTCATACGAACACTGTGTGGACGGCCAGATCTTTTTCTGTCGCAAACAGAGGAGGTTTAATTGTACCTATTAATAGGTGCACAAATATTCGACTAAAACCAAGCGGATTGAGAGTTTCAAAAATTGTATTTGGCTCCATATCTACTTTGTGTAATGCAATCACAGCGATTCTGTTCTCTTTGTTACTAACTGGCGCGAAAAATTGAAAACACAATGAACTTTAATAATGGAATGACAGATTCCAAATTCAAATGTAACATTTTGTTTATTTTTAATTGTAACAGTATTGGGTATTATAATATATAATACATAATTTCCTTTATATGAGTCTAGTATTTAACAGTTAAAAATATTTTATACTGAATCTTGCCAAAAATTCATTAAATCGAAGTACTTAAGTGTGCCTCTATTACAAACTAGCGTATCTACATATATTTGAAAAAATAAACATATATTCAATGTATTGTCATACATGAAATTGTTACGTGATACAAATAAATAGCCATCCTGATATTATACACGTGAAAGTGCATGTTTTCTTTTTGTGCCTAAACGGCTGAATAGGTCTTAATAAATTTTTAAATAAATATAGACTATATTATGAAAACGAGACTGAGCTATTGTGCTAACTTCTATTTCTATTCCGACTACTTTCAAATTATCTAGTTTCTGTTAACAGCGGCTTTGTTTGCGTTAATGTCCGTTTCGACAGCCAAATCTATTACATATCTAGAATGCATGTAAATAGAACATGAATTGTAATTATTAATTATCCAGTGTAATATTATATATTCAAAAGTATATCTGTTTGTTTATTATATTATCACGACTGAATTGATATTAATGAATTTAGAATTATAAATAAATAGTATCACGAGGAAAATACCATTTTCCTTAAAAAAAGAACAATACCAAAACCGACGAAGTCGGCGGCTAACAGCTAACGGCTAACAGCTAGTGTTATATAAAGACGTTTATTATACCAATTATTTAAGAATAAATTAAAGTCTTCTTAAATGAAGCATCTACATATACGAAATTTAGGCTGACTATTGTCCCGTCAGCGCATATCGTTATTGCAGGTAGAAGCACCATTCCATTATCGCCCAATAAAATAATATATATAAACGTCGAAAGTGTAAATATATTTTTTGCCAGAAAATCATTTATGTTTTTACGCAATTAATATATTAATTGAATAATATATCACAGCAAAATCATTATAGATCTCAACCCTTGAAGTGCACAGTGAGGGTGCTCCACTATGAAGTGGCTAGCTGTAATGAGTCAGTTTGATACACACCCTGGCAGTGGCGGAGTCGCCACTCACCCTGTAACCACCAAGGTTATTCACCACACACGTGAACATTGCGTCCCGGCCCTGGGCGATGGTCACGTTCTCTAAAGGGTATAGGAAGTCCGGTTCCAGACCTAGAGCTGTAAACAAAAGAAAAAAAATACATTTAAATTAAAATATTGTGAACATTAACAGGATCAAGGATATATGTTTTTGTATCTTGTAGTTATTGTAATACATATAAAAAAACTATAAATATGTTTTCACACAAATAGGCACAGGATCTTACTCGTTATCATGTCGTTTTGAAACCGTAATCCTAAAGAACTAGGCTCTCAATTCCGCAGATTTTTTTAAATTCATGTTCAGGAGAACAGGAATAGTGGAATGGGAAAGATAGCAAATTATTCTATTTACTTCTATTAGTACAGAGAAGTGTAACAAGGTTAGATATATAAAATACTAATGCTTAATAGGTGAGTATATTTATTTTAGGTATTAAATTTTGAACATATACCTGTTCTATGTTCTTTAATAAATTTGACAAGGTTTCTTTTATAAATTTACAATTATGTATTTCTGCTTTATTGCAACCGTCATGATCGCCGGTAAATTGAGAGTAGCGGGTAGATGGTAAAATCAGAGCAAAATATCAATCAGTACTCATCGTTTTCGTTTGTTTTTACTATCGGGATCTTTAATATCAGGAAATCAATAAAGAAATCCCGTTATTTTATGTATGTCAATAATTATTGATAATAATTTATTTCTGAATAACATCTGTTTGCACTACGGTTGCTACTAATATCTAATAAGGAATAATTACTTAGTAAAAATTAATATATCTGTAATCTATATATATCCGTCCTATTAATATATAAGGATTAATGAAAAATGTTTAATATTTACTTTAATATTTTCTGTCGTTCCGTATACCTAAAGCTAATAAGAAAACCATTGGAAATCGATATAGCTATAATAAAACGAATAAAAACCGATTTGATGATATTCGATTTCTTTATATTCACAAGGGCCCACGCGCATCGAACGCGATATCGCACGGTTAACTGAAGCGATAAGTGATTTTCGCCTCCGACGCCGACACCACGTCTACGATTGCGATTTGCATAAATGGCGAGAAGGGAAGTTTGGCAGCGATTTGAAAATATTCGAACGAAGTAATACTACTAAAACAATATTACAAATCTGGACGAATTAAAAACATTCATCGAAAAGATCTGGAATGTTGGTATATGCAAAAATATCGGTTTTTGTTTATTGCGTAGTAGTTTTGAAATATGTATTTGAGTATCGGAAAATTTCTTGAAAATGGAGAGGCAATCCATAACATTTAGAAATAACACTATATTTTGAATTCGTTGTATAAAACAGCCACAAATGGTAACCTTTTTATTTCAGTCCATTGTTGTTTAATGTTTGTTTAACTTTGAATGTAAAAAATATACGTTGTTGATATTGTTATATATTATTTTTTTTTGAAATAGAAATAATCTTTATTCCATTAATCTCATTACAAGCACTTTTGAATGGTCATATTTTGATTCTACCACTCATTTGGAATGCAGATTCATCACAAGAAGAATGAGGAAGAAATTTGTGTGTTGCTCTTTTGAATAGATGTTTTTTTTTATATTTGTACCAAAAGTATAGTAATAATCTATATTTCATATTAATATTATAAATTCGAAAGTGTATTTGTCTGTCTGTTTGTTAAATCGACTACAGTACTGAATGGATTTACTTAATTGAAATTTGACAAAAAATAGGAGGACAGATATAGGCTATCTTTAAATGTGTGTAAAATAGGGTGTAGATAGTAAAAGTGTATGAAGATTAAGAACTAAATAACAGCTAATTATTTAGAAAACCAGATCTACTTGTTTTTTCCGTTTATACATGATGATTTATACATATTCACAGATTTTAGAAAATTAAATGCAAGATGAAGCAGACTGACTCACAAAAGAGTTTCTACATAAAAATGTGTCAGTTAGTTTGAACATAAACATTGTTCGGGGTGAAACGCCCGAGGCGTCAATATTCTACGTGACCAGTTCTTTCTGTCGCCTTCAAGGAAACATGTGTCGGAAGTGAGGACTATCTATTCGCTCGAAGAATAGCGATCGTACTACTAAATTATTTGTATGTCACTACAAACTCCCGTAGTGGCCGATTGCATCTGCATTCACCCATTCGCCAGTTGGTCCGGACACATTATTATGACATATTTACCAAATCGGCAATGTGTATTCGACATGTCGAGTGCAATGTACGGAATAATTTTATTTGTATTGCTCTCATTGAGTCTATTATTTTACTATTGATTAAAAATGAAGATATCATCAATTGGCATACATTTGTTCGTATTTAATATAATATATGCATGCATCATAATGCATTTGAACTATCTTTATTTTTAATTTTATGTATACGCTTAGGTACTACTGCTTTGATAAATTACTGATTTATGATGATATACTGATGATTTACTGATGATTTGTACTGTTGATGTCAAAGTTAAGAACCGATGATTGAATTTAGAAAATAATAATAGTATGTTTGTGTGCGAAAACGTCATATAATTATAGCAATTATTAATTGTACTAATAAGCAAGATATTATATTAAACTTCATATTGTCTACTTAATTATACCGACCAAGTTATATGTTGTTGCAATCAAAGAGACACATTTACGTAAGGAAAGTTGACTATTAATTTACCGCATCTGATATTATGCCTACAAAGATAACATGTTGCATTGCTCACCTTCAGTATATAACAGAGAATAAGATCAATTTCTATACACTAAAATGATTTCCGAGGTCCGTAGTGAATATGAAGTGTCCAGCAGACGTTCGGCAAATAAACAGAAGTAGATATAGATAGCGATCTCCTGTCCAATAACTAGCAATTGGTTGCTACTGCAGTTCAATATTTTAGAACTGGAGGAATTGTTACGTATTGCCGTATAACTCCTACATTCTAATAATATTAGACATGTAGTAGTTCATAAAGATATTCAAACATTTAGATATATAATTAGATAGTGTCATCTGAAAATAAAAAACCATTGTAATGTTTATGTATGCGTATATACGCAGCTTCTTACAAGATTCTTACAAATTATAAAGTCTATTGTGGTCAATACCTTAAGGGATATTCAATATTAACTATCAACAAAACTGTATTATATTTAAATACTAAGTTCAATTAAGATACTAGAATTAAAAATATAATCCGACTATTTCATTTTTTAAATTTGAACTTTGAGACAAAGATATATGTATATGATTCGTTTAAAATGTACAACTGCTTTATACGTTTAAATGAATATTTAAAACTACTATACACCATCAATATCCTATTAATTATTCTGTCAGCTATATTTATGAAGCGGATAGTATACGAAATACAACAGAATCTGCAATAATTATGTTGAGTAATTTATTTATCGTCTGGAGGCGGTCCACCTGATGATAACCGTCGCCTATAATATATTATATATGAACAGCACTACGGACATCACATTATCATGTCAGACCTGATAACACTCATACGTTGTCATTCCATATAATTAAGAAGTCATGCCTCTTTATATTTTTTTAAGGATTTACTTATCAAATGGAATGATTTTTAAGTTTGCACTTGGTATACATTGCTAATATGTTATATATATTAGCAACGTCTCCATTTCTAACAGTTCATTCCCTCCATATAATAACATTATATAGATTTAGTTATTTTTGTATGTATAATATAACCTAGCTACTGAAATAAAAGTATTTAATTTCCAAACTTCAGATATACTTGTATAATGATACCGACTTTAAACAAAATAATTATAGTATCCAGTACAATAAAATATTTAGAACTATTTTGGTAAAAGATCTCAGTGATCTATAAACGAAGAAGGTACCACTAGATTTTACAGAGAGAGAGTATAAGCGGACAATTAACAGACATGGTTTCGTACTCCGGGGAGATAGAAAGTTAGGACCGACATTGGTACATGAGTGCAGTGTTTATAACTTAGTTCCGAGACCTGGTGTACCTGTTGAAGTTCTACAGGAGAATATAAATGCAGTGGAGAATTAGATAGTGTTAATAATAACCTGAAGTAGTCGGTAAGTATAAATAAAACGTATAAGTTGGCTGGCTAATCTGACCCATATTATTTAGATAGAGATATTACTATTCAAAAAGCTATTTTATTCGATTGCTTTTATTGTTAGATACGCAATATTTTTTCCCAATTCAACGTAAATTTTCATATTTGTATATGCATATTACATTTTCTCGCATCTCTCCATAGCTACTAATTTCGTTGTAGTTGTATTGAAAATTTTGGTAAATAAATAAATAATAATTATTATTAAATATATTTTTATATAAGAGTACGATAACCTTTGTCCATTCATCTAATTTAAGTCCATCTTTACATTGTTTGTGATAAAAATTCGTATTCTGAATATTGCAGTAGAATTAAAAAAACTATTTTAATACGAAGTTTATTTCAATTTTAAAGCCGAAAGTACAAAGCAATACCACATAATCTTACACCTGATGAATGTAGTGTATCACAAGTATCTGTAACCATTTACTTTGAATCTAGTTGACAAAGTGACTATTTACCTATTCATTATACCTATTTACCGTCACATCACGATCATGAGTACCAACATATCGACGAAAGCCGTGCTCAAGCAATCACAGAGTGGAGAAACCCCAGTCGACCGCTTCATTTGCAATTTGGTTCACTGATTTTCGTTCGAGCACTAGACTAGGTTTAGTTCGGCCTAGAGTGAATTATGTCCATTGTTGTTTTGGTCCGAATTGGAGAGGTACGTAAACTGTGTCTCGTAGCTTTTAAACTTTGAATGGTATGCATTTGACATAGTATAATGCCGGTAGTTTCGTTGACTGATAGTAAGATCACGTAATGATATCGTTACTCGTTTTCATATTTAAAATGTCCCAAGAGTCAGTATAAAAAAAGGAACTCTGAAACTAAACACTTGACTCAAAAGTAATTTATTATATTTTTCAACTATTCACAGAATATATTTCTAAAACTTGAGCTGTATACTTGTTAGCTCTATAAACTATAGAAATATATCA